CTTCCCAGAAGAGTTGAAGCTGTTCTAGCTGCAAAGGGTGGACCGACGTCATATTGAACCCTATGGATTAGGAACGGGATGTCACTTAAGCTCATATGTGAGTCAAGGCAGGTGAGCAAATACTTTTGGCAATATAGTGTATATGCAATAATATAGACTATAATACATGAGGATGTGTTGAAACTGGATAATGAGTGGGTGGCACAGAGGGAGTAAAGAAAGAGAAAGGCACTGTAATTACTTAAGCATTCTTTCCCATTGGGATCCATGATCATAGCCATTGGAACAGCTCTATGCAGTAAGTGCTCTTTAGCCCACAATCGTCTGATGTTAAAATGTCCAACAGAAGAGGGATCAGGACTTTTTTTGGCTTTTGTTTCTGCATCAATTTTTTCAATCAGCAAACTGCCAGCAATTGCGTTTGATGAAGCTCTTTGTAAGAGTGAGTCTGAAGTTGGCTGCAGTTTCAGAGAAGCTATTTGCAGCTTTCTACATCCAGAAACCTTCCGCTTTACAAAATAGTTCTAATCTGTAAACAGTACCTTTTAGTCTTTGCAGACGATTATCAATGCCGTTTGGGTGTCAACATTAACAGAGTCATTCTAACAATAGATTTAAACCCTTGTCTCACATCCCTGAATGGTTTTGCTTCACTAACCTTCCCATCACCTCTGATCTGCTGCCCTGCACCTGCTGGAGTAAAGTGTCTCCTCATAGTAATGCTTTCACAATGATGTTTCGCATTAGGGTTGATATGTAAAGTGTGCTTTTGGTCTTCAAGGACACACGCTGTATTGTGAGTAGCCCAAAAGGGGAAACTCAGAGCTTTCTTAAATCAAGGTTTTTCATACTTGCCTACTTTCATTAAGTTTAGATTTGAAAGTTGCACATCTTATTAAAAACCTCTCAACAAGCTTCCCAACCTGAGGTTTTTGGCTTGTTCTATGATAAATGCTCTTCTCTCCAGGCCTGTAAATTTAAACAGGCAACCATGTCTCTGTGAATTCGATATATCAGTGGGATGTCAAGAGATATCATTAAGATTTCACACTTAATGAGGCCAAATACAGCTATATTTTACACATTACAAATTTTATTTTCTTAAAAATCTGAACACAACTACTGTGCTTTTGTCTCCTAATATTTGAGCAAATTATACAAACATTGTAACTGTTACAAAAGAAAGATTGACATGCTTTATGTGTACATACTTTACTTAGGGACTGTAAAAGGAGATTGGTGTCCAAATGTCATCTTTGAGCTCATAATGTTTATGACGCAAAACAGAGCAACACTATAATGCTGCTTTGACCCTCGGCTCACACAGCGGCTCAGAGGCATAATAATACATAACAATTGCCGGCAAACATTAGGTGTGGCCTTTAAGTCCAGGATTACAGTGGTTTTACGCACACGTTAACAGGATTATATCTGATTTTTGCGAGACATATGCGGTCAGTTAGCAAGAGGCAGAGATATAGAGGTGCTTTAAAACATGGGTAATTGGTGTGTGTGGCTGAGACACAGCAGAACATGATAAAAGTGAGATATTTTTGTTTTGAATGATAAATGGTGACTGGACTAAGTTTTCTCTTTTCAATCCTGTCCACTTTAAGCCTATATTGTTCAAACATCTCTGGCAGAAAGGGGTCAACATCTGACTGCAAAAGCAAAGATTAATTTCAAGCCTTTAAGACTGCATGGTCACAGGAACAAACAACCAAATCTAATTCTGTTTTAATAAATCAAATTTAATCATTATATATTACTTTAAAGAAGAGAGAGGAAAAAATGAACCGGACTGATTTAAAACCATTTTATTTTTTTGTGTGCAAAATAAAAAAGAAACAAAAAGCAAAACCATTTACACATACTGTACATACAAATTAGAAATGTTTTCTATTAAATTCCTAATTCCACAGAGTCAAAAAAAAAAATAATTAAAGGAAGCTTTTAGAGCACAAACTATGCATAGTGATAAGTCCATCCAGATATTTAATAAGTTATTTTGCATTAAAAAACAATGTAGTGTTACAGTGTAAGTTGCTTGTGAGGTGAGAAAAGCAGAACAAAGCTGTCCGGTATTATATAATATAGAATAAAAACAAATTTTGCTTCGAGTAATCAAGAAAAAACAAAGAGGCATTTAATATACTATATGTCCAATACGATAAATTACAGTGCCTTGCAACAATATTATCAGACCTTCCACTCTTTTACATTTTTACCATACTACAGAAACTTCAATACATTTTTATTGTAATTTTCTGTCATAGATCAACACAAATAAGACATTACTGCAAAATAGAGATACAAGAATTGCTCATGTTGTGTAAGAAGAGGTGTCCAAATGCAAACAGCATCAGGAGGGCTTATGGACACACAAGATAGCTAAAATACGCACACACACACACATCACACTTTTCAGATTTTTTTTCCCCAAACATATATCAATTTAATTCCATAAGACATACTTTGTTTTGATCTATCACAAAAAAAAGGCTTTATCACACTGAAGTTGATGTTTTCTTTTTTTTTTTACTAGAAAATATGTGAATAATGTCAAGGTTTAAGTGTGCAAGAGCATGTATATATTTAGAAAAAACACTTTCTATAAACATTTGGCTACATTTAAATAAAACAAACAAAAAAAATTCCTCAGTGGCACAGACAGAATAAACTGCCAAGATCGACCAGATTTCATGGTTAACTTGACAAATGTTATTTTGGTTTTTGCCATGTGATTTAAGGCACCAAGGTCCTTCATTACAGTATAGCTTCATTTTGATGCATAAATGTTGCTGTCTATGATCCATCCTTTACCTGTTAAAATTTACCCTGATTTTCTGTCACTCTAAACATCCATAAAAAATCGAGACAGCAACATAACGCATGAAGATTGCTGCTTGGTCCACGCGCTTTCAGTCTGGCTTTAGGTGTTTGTCATCTGAGGATGGGAAGGGCAGGGCACAGCGGTGCGTGCATAGATCATGTCTACTGCAGAAGTCGTTCAATTGCTTGTGACGTTTGCCCAGGCGGGGACGGTGTCCAGGTGAAACATGGCTTTGCCCCAGGTGTTAATAGCCAGTGTGATGCAAATAATACCAATGATGTTCATAACTATACCAGTCTTAGCCTGTCGGGGACAAAAACAATGCAATGATTAAGGAGATGTGTCAGTTCATTTACAATATCTTTAAAAACTTTCACTCAGTATATATTTAAACTCTAAACACATAATAATGGATATTAGCTTTGCATTTAAACCAAAAATGCATGTTAATTGAGCTCTGTAACACATGCATACAATACGGTGCATCTGATAGTTGTTAAGAGTTTTATAAATCAGTCTGACTTATCAAAACCCAAGTGCTGCTTCGAGAATGAAATCCTTTCACTCTGGAAGTCATCGATTCTGTTCTTTTTCAGTCAATCTGCTATAGATTCCCAAGAATGTGTTGGATCATTAAATAGTCCAAGTGTCAGCTGTTGGTGGGATGGTATCTGACTCCTTTCTGCTATATTGTATCATGAAGCAAGGCTTGAAGCCACATTGCTGATAAAACAAGCCCAAATCACTACTCCTCCACCACCTTGTGTGACAGTTTGAGTCATCTGTGGTAAGGCAAGGCAAGGAAATTTTATTTGTATAGCACAATTCAGTACAAAGACAATGCAAAGTGCTTTAAATGATTAAAATATAGGAAAATAAAACAGAATCAAAGTGGTGGCATGTTAATTTTCTCCTAACATGGTACTGTGCATTATGGTCAAACATACTTGTTTACTCATTTTAAATTGATGCAACTTTGTAAGCCTAAACCATCAGTTAAATTCAGTCAATTAATAAAGGTCAACAATTTGCATATGGTCAGATTGTTTAACAATCTATATTATTTAAGGAAGCCAAACAAATTGCATCACGTCATTGACTCACATAATTGACTCCTGGTTGTGCATTGAGCAACAGCGCATTGCCTTTGCAGAAATTACCAATACCGATTATGTTGTCTATAGTTGACATGAACAATCCATACTTGTTCAGCTACTCTCTAATCGTCACCTTCTCATGAGCTTTTAAACTCAGCATGCTAAATCAGATGTGTGGAGTCAAAGACGTTTTACTTATTTCTGCAGTCTCTCTGGCCAACGCATTGCCTCACTTTGAGTTGGAAATTAGGTGATGCAAAATCCATTTCTAGTCAAATTGGCAACTTCTAAATGATTTCTAAGTGTAAAGATATTTTTCACAGTTCCAACTTTCTATGTTGTCATTAATCTCTAATTATGAATAAATCAAGTGCATTTAAAAAGCAACAAAATTTGCCTTTTCATTTTAGACTTCAGTAAAAAGCAGTGCTGAAATATTTGGTTTTTGCAAACAGCTTTACAATTTTTGTTTGCTGTTGTTTGAAAGAAAATGCTTGTCGTGAAAATACACCGAATATTTTTGGGCATTTGAGATTAGATTTAAACCAGTTCAGACCGGATAATGTCATATTTTTTTTAATATGTCCTGAATTTTAAACCTAAGAATCGCAAATGGGCTTACTTTCATTTTATATTGCTTTAGCTATCAGGCACTTTTTTGCAGATTCCAATTAGCAGCAAAATAAATCTTTCTAGTGATACATTACTCTGCTTCTCTGAGAGGGCTTATAGTATATGGAGGAACAGTGGAAGAAAGAGTTTAATGGCTTTTTGAAAAGAAAGCACAAAAGCTTTGTTCTATTTGTGGAACTCTCTATATTACATTTGATAATTAATGCATTCCTAATAATGCAAACGAATAAATTATTCTATTCATATTCTTCTTTCTTGACATGTAAGGTGTTACAGTACAGAGTCTACATTTTGTAAAAAACAAAATGGTTAGACTAGAAACAATAAAACTCCCATTTAATATGTAGCACTAAAAACGCACATTAAACGTGTCAGATCAATACCATCAAGATCAATACCATCAAGACCAACAGCCTTCCCTGTTTGGTCAAAACAAAAAGTGGGAACATTTTCTATTCCCAGCTACAGTATTTCTTAAAAACAACATTGAAACAAAAACTCAGCCACTATCACACATATGAGGCTGTGTGAAGAATGCTTCATTGAGCATAACTCTGTGGTGTTCTTGTATGAATACAGATGTGAATGTGTGTTGGGGTGGTGCAAGCTGCATGCATCCACGGGTGCATATAGAGTATGAGGAAACTTTAATTGGTCTGGTTATGCCAGAAGGTGCAGTCCTTAAAAAAGTTTTTTTTTTTTTTTTAAAGAGATGCCATTGCAAGCAAACTTAGGGTTAGCACCACAATATATATTTTAAACCTGTAATTTAAAGATTTCAAGGGATTCTGTGCAATGGTGAAGTTTGAAATCAAGAGGAAAATAACCTTGCTCAATGCCTTTTAAAATAAGGCTGTCAAAGTGAATGGGCCAAAATGAAATACACAGCTACTTTTTCATTATGTAGTCTTAAGAATAAGCGTGGCAAATTTGAGTTATCGTACATCCATCTCATTTATAGTACTCAGCATTGTTTCTTCCACATGTTAGGAAAGAGACATAGAGACAATGGTAAGGGTAGTTATTCAATTTTAAACTTAATCTTAGTCATTAGATGTCACTAAATCTTATTGAACTAACCTTTAATCTTTTATCATTTTGGTGGAGGAAGGATGTGCTTTTTATTTTTTTAACAGTATGGTTTAAAGTACTGCTTAGGCTGGAACTATAAATGACATTAAATACAGGTTCTGGAGTCCTAATTGTATAATAGCAGCAGCAAAGTCATTGCACCTTCAGATTCAGCATATTATTTACAAAACAACCCCCACAATCAGCTGTACTCACCATGTCAGCAACCTTGAGGTGTCCATAAGAAAACACGATGGCGTTTGGAGGGGTGGCGACTGGCAGCATGAAGGCGAATGAAGCACTCAGAGTACAGGGCACCATGACGTACAGCGGATTGATTCCGATGGACTGAGACTGCAATAATCACAAAGGAGGTTTTTAAGACTTAAGCAGGGATAAACACAGACGTGATCACGAAATCCCTCTCTCCTCTATCTGGCTATTTTTCTTCAACCGCAATCACTGACTCATAACTCTGAATGAAATGTGTGCAATTCTGCACGAAGTGAAAACTCTCATTAGGTGGGTGTAATTAAGATGCGATTCCTGCTGGCCCGATGCTGAGTCATGGCATCCAAAATAGAAAAGCACTACACGTGTACTGGATAATGGCAGACTGCTGCGACTCAGAGAGCATTACGGAGTGGAATTTGCTTCTGAATTACATATCATGGAGCACAGAAGCTTGAACAAGTGCACAGTAATTTCTGCTTCTCAAAATAAACAAAGAACAAAAAGAAATAAACTGTATATATAGACTTCTTTTAAGTGTATATCAGGTCACTGAAATTATAGTGTTAGTTCTTGATAAATATGTTTTCTTTTAATCACTGATTCACTTAACATCATGACACATTATGCAATGACCCATAAACTGTTATAACACCAAATTGTAATATCCAAAAGTTTAGCTCTGAGCCTCTAAGCAAATCCTTCATTCTTAGCCTCCTGTTTTTATAATAAACCTAAATATTAAGTACTATTTGACCATATGCACTCAACTTTTTTTTAACAGTTCTCCATGTTAATAGCAAGTGAAAGGAAAAGCATGCATAGTTTTCCTATTTTTTTATATAAAAGAGTGCCATGCAGTTGCATATAACCCCCAAAGAACAGTATTTAATCTTTTGGTTTAAAATGTAAAGGCACTTAACATGATTCATTGTCTTGTCTGTATTTTTAGTACCACTTTCTAACGAATTCTTCTAAGATTAGACAGGCAATATCACTACCTGGCCAAAAAGTAATCTAGGCTTAGAGCTAAAATTAATCATTAAACAATCGAGTTGTTCATTACAGACTGTGCTTTGTAAGCAAAATTGCTTCCATGTTATCTTCAGAAACCAAGTTCTTTTTTTTCATTGGAAAAGAGTCAGATTTTTCATGCAAAACTAAATGCAGAATCCCTGTAAAAGTGACAGAATGAGACCCAGGCAGATTAGAAACTTCCTTTTTAGAAAAACACTGAACAATGCAATTTGACTGATCAATTTAAACGGCTGGGAAAGTATGAATTAATTAAACAATGTAAAGTTCAGGGCAGGGTCTATAGCCCGATTTTGCTTATAGCAGTCTAAGCTAAAACTTGTTTTGAGTTAGACTTTAAATAATAGTCTAAAACCAAATCCAAATTCCAAAAAAACTCATTTCACTTAGATTAACTCTTTATATAATATTTATTAAATCTAGATTAGACACATTTGAACTACTGTAATGATTTAGATGGCTCTTTATAAAATAAATAGATTAACTGGGCCAAATGGATACAGCAAGATTGATCAGCAATTTTTAAGTCTTGCTAAAATGAATCAGTAGAATTTGGGTCTTGGTTCTTTTAACACATGAATATTGTTGATCTAAACCATTTAAATGTAGATTTTGTTGTACAGTATTTATAAGGTTCTTAGAGGAACCTCAGCCCCGGTGTTAAGTCTTTTGGAGCATCTTGTTTTCATTTAGCTCTAAGTATCCTCCTATCCAGTCTGTTTAGGTTTTATATCCCTGCGGCAGAGAAATGGATGATGATGAAACCTCCACTGGATGTTATGGGTGAAATGAATATTTTTTTTGCCATACGTAGTGTTTTGTACGTAGGCTAAAAACATACATTTTGGTCATACCTAAACACAACATTTCCTGTTTTTTGTGTCCCTAAATGCTTTCTCCCCTCGTTATTCTGTCAACAGATTCTCTTTCCTCAGTTGTAGCTGGCTAAAGCTTCTCTAGAACTACCATCTACATCTCTGATTATTGTTTTCCTTGCCTAGTTTTGGCAGATCACCATCTCTAAGCATAGATTTGTAGCCATGCTGTACTCCTTCTACTTCCCAATGGAGAATTGAGGAGTGCTCCATGATAAGCACAGGATGTTGTTTAGAATATAACCAAATAAAAATAGATAAATAAGTCAAAGCGAATATTCCTTTCTTCCCTTTGTAATAAAATTCACACAGACATCATGCACTGAGGTTTGTCACTTTAATGTGGCAAACATGTTAAAAAAAAACAAAATGTATAAATACTTTTGCAGGGAATAATCATTTTAGCAGTAGCGTTTAATGATCTTTTGAAAAACCCAATTGGTTTTTTTTTTTTTTTATAAAATCCTGTTTGGGACTCTGGGCAATGGTTGAGCAGCAGGGACAATGATGTCATTCTTCATTTATACATGGCAGTGAGACAGGGCAGTGGGCTGTACTGGTGTTCTTGTCAGGTTATTAATGGGGGGAGGGCCCCACTGTGGAGGACTAAGCATATTAACCCCGGAAAAACCAACAAGAGAGCTTGCCAAACACGGGAAAGTAGGCCAGTTCTCACTGGGAGAAGTGAGAGCTGGAACTCGGCTAAGGAAATCAGCTAAGTGCTCAAGGAAGGACTTTTACTAAATGAACACCTTTGGTCAGGAGTGACTACGTCTCCAACAGTCTGAAAAAACTGTCTGTGTATTTACGTCAACTCCTTCTATCTGATAGATAGTTCTTACCATTGAGGCTAAGACAGGAAGGAACAGCGTTGCAGTCGCCACATTACTGGTGCACTCTGTGAAAGTAGCAATCAGTAGGCATAAAATGATAGCAATTCCCCAAGGAGGGATGTTCTGCAGGGGAGCCATTTGGTCTCCCATCCACTTAGACAGTCCTGATACCTGAAAGCAGAAAAAGAAGGTGTAAGGTAAAGTAAGGTAAGGTAAAATAAGGTAGGGTAATAAGGAGCTTAAACTTAGAAATTCCACACCACAAACAGCTATGCAAACAAGTACGTTAAAGTTGGAGCTCTAATTGGTTTACTTAGGCTCTTATCTATTTATTGAATGATAAATCTTCTATTCTTTGATCCCCTAACCTTAAAACATTTTGTTAGAACTTTGATGTTGTGGTTTCTAAAAATAATTGGAATTATAGGCTCTAATATGTAAAAAATGTATTCATAAATCATAGAAACTATAACGGTAGAGTTCTACAGTAAAGTATGTGTATGTCTTCTTGTTGGTACTTTAGAAGTATTACACTTCAAGCTGCTGATCAAAAACAAATAACGATTAAAAATTGCCACTAAGACCTATCACAAATAGCAATGCATATAAAAAAATTTTTTTTTATTTAAGTCAAGACACTTGAATCATTTAGAGTGAGACTTATCTAGGTCAAGTAAGAGAGTACAAAACATGCATACAGTAACCATAATGTAGCATAACTTTCTGTATCATAGTTTGTCAACCTATTATTAAATACCACAAGATAAATCAAATACAAAATAATCTTAAAATAATAATATTAATATAATAAAGGTACTAATTTATTAAAGGCAACTCAGTGTAATGTAGCATTAGATACCAACTCATCTTCTGAGTTACAGGGCTAACTGGAAATAGAAGGGTCAGTGGGGTTTAAGGCTTTGGTAGCATTGTCTCCTTATGGATGTCTTTTATTTTTAATTATTTTTTGCCATTATTATACCATGACGTAATATAACATGGTGTAATGCAATGTAAGTATTCTTCCTACTTACTTCACTTCCTTTAGCGAGGGCAAACCCACCCCCAAGGAGAAGGACAATGCCCCAGGGTACCTTCTTTTGGGCAACTTTCCAGCTGAGGAGTCGAGGTGTTGAGCCAGAGGACTGCTGTGTTGCTGCAGATGGATAAATAAATACACACCAGAGACTAAACATTACAGGGTATGCTTCTCTTTAAGTTTTTCGTTCAGTTTATACTCCCAGAAGGATTCCTTACTTATGTCAAACCTTTGAGTCCTGCATGAGCAGAACCATGGTAATTCAGAGGGTAGGACGAAGAGGAGGATGGCCACAAAGATCGCCACTGTGGCATCTGTCACATATCTTGGAGGACAGAGGAAAGCGGAATTCCCTTTAATCAAGTGTCTTTATGTATGAATTTGTATTTTTGTGCAAAATCAGAATTAAATATAATAGGTACACACTCTGCACTGGAGTTTAGATCGGTAGCCCAGCCATGAACAAAACCTGGATCTCTTGAGAACCAAAGGAGTACCAGCAAAACGAAGAGAAACAGGACATTTATCTCTCCGAAACTCATTGGCCCCAGCTGTCGATGTTGCTCACGGATCACATTATATGCAGCAATCTCCTTTTCTGTTTTGGTTGTCCCACAGCCCCATGTTTTCCTGAAACTAAGGAATCACATGAGAATCTGAATTTCACCTATACAGAGAAAAGATGGTGCTAATGCAGATTTTATTTTATTTTTTTCAGTTTTCCTTCCCAAAAGAACCTTTTGCGACGATAATACTCACTTAAATCCCATGAAGACGAACTGCAACCAAAGCCAGGCTAGAGTCAACATAATAATCATGTTGGGGAATGCAAATCCGAACCAAGAGGCAAAGTTAATCACATCGTCATTTTCAGGAAACAGTCTGAAGAAATATTGAAAGAGAAATACCTTTTAAAAAACAAAAATGTATAAAAAAAATGTTGTTCTTGTAGCACACTCACTGGTTCATTTGTCCCTTAAGCACCAGATTGGGACCAGTTCCTGTCAAGGTGGCAGTGCCCCCGATGCTAGCGGCGTAACAAACGCACAAGGTCATCCCTTTACCCATTTTCCTCCTCTCCATTGCCTCCTTATGCCTGGCAACCTCTACTGAGGCATCTAGGAAAGTCACCACCACGGGACCTTAAAAACAAAGACAGAGGAATGAAAAGAGCTTTCAGTCCCTAATTTATATACAAAAAAAACTTTTGATTCCCCCCAATATATCCTCTGTTTCTTTCTCTTCTCTTTACATTTCTAAGGAAGCTCACCCTGTCCTTCATTCTCCTTTTCTGTCTGAACAGGTGGTTTGCTGTCAGTCTCAGAAGTCTGAATATTCTGGTCTGAACTGATGGTTTGTGGCACTTCGCTTTCAGTGGTGTTGAGCTGATCCAGCACTGCTTGAACAATGGGGACCATCATGGCTGTGGTAGCTGTGTTACTGATCCACATTGACAAGAATGCAGTAACACCCATGAAACCCAGCATCAACCTGTCAGAAACAGAAAAATGGAGAAAATCAGATTGTCCTGTGATGGCCCAGCAACTGGTGAAGGGTGTACCCCGCTTCTTGTCTTATGACCAGTTGCAATCATGATAGAAAATGAACAGATTGAAAAATCAAAGCTGATTTAGCACTGAAGTCATAAAACCAGGCTATGACTGGTTTATATCACTGGAGTTGAAGTGGTGTAAACAGACTTTTTACAATGTAGTGAAAACCTTGAACCTAGCGCACTTATCTGCAGTATATTCCTCTTTTGATAGGTGATTAGATAGGCTTAGGAAATGAGTTAGAGATGAAAGATAGGGGTTTATGTAAGTTACCAAGCTACTTACAGTGCTGGTCGCACACCAACAAAAAGCAGCACCCTTAAAGCAATGCGTTTGTGCAAATTCCAGTGCTCTACAGCCACAGCAACCAGCAGTCCACCCACAAATAACAAGTTGGTGTCCTTCAAGTACTGCATACCCACCTAGAAAAATGTGTCACATAAATTTTGATTTTTGTCTAATTGAAATCGGCAGTGAATTTCTGGGAAATGCTGGACTTACATCTTTAGACTGCATAATGCCAAAAAAGGGAAAAAGGATAGCTGGTAGGAGCGAGGTCACAGCCAATGGCAGTACCTCCGTGCACCAGTACACAGCCATCAAGATGATCACATAGGCACATTCGGCCTCCTAAAAACAAAACAAAAAAAAAAAAACGTAAAGAAATGCAAAAAAAAAAAGCATAAAATTTTTTTTTTATGGTTTTATTGCTAATTTGGTTTAAAGCTTCTCTGACAAAAGTCACCAATAAAAACTGTAAACACTTGAGATCATTAAATGTTACATCAAATGAAAGACTATGTTATGATGGTTCAAAGTGTGAAGTAAGGTTTGATCTACTTCTTTTAGTCATATCAGCAATTTCCTACTGCAGAATCGCTGAGTAAAAACTTATGGAGGAAAACAAACTAAAGAATATATAGATACATTATCAAATTGAGTTTATATTATAAATTATTTTACTAATTTTAAAGTTACTGTTCTGCAATGAACTCTGTGATTTGAAATCCTAAATTAGACCCTAAGATCTGAATGTTAACTTGCACAGACAGTCTTCTACAGACCAGTGATGTTTACCAGAGTAATGTTAACTCTACCCATTGGTTCAGATGCGAAAACTGCCAGTTAAAATACTGTAAAAACATAACTAGATTTAGCTTTTATAAAGCAAACATAATTAATGGATAAAAAACTACAATACCATACCAATAATTTGGGTTTCACGTAAATAGATAATTAAAAGGACTCTGGAGAAATTTATTGCATACTGGGGGAGGTAATTCAACCATCTGATTCAGGTGTGTTGGACCAAGGATGAATCTAAATGTTGCAGGAAACCAACCCTAAAGGATTGAAGTTGCCCACCCCTGCTTTAGACTCTTCACTTCACTAAATGATTTTAAACCTGTTTTCTTAAACTCAAATCCTTGAGGGCTGGTGTCCTGCAACATTAAGATGTATGCATGCCCTGCAATCCTGAAGTAAATGTCTAAATTACCTTACCAGCATTTAGTCAAGCTATGCAGAGAGCTGCTGATGAACTCATGTTGGAGTCAGGTGTGTTGGAGCAGAAGCACATTTAAAAGTTGCAGGACATCAGCCCTTGAGGACTAACAGGTACACACTCAGACCATTGTTTTTAATATTAGTCTCTGGTCCAATCCGAACACCTCAAATTGGTAGGAACACCTAAAGGGTCGGTGGAGGATTTTCTTTTTCCGGGTGGCTCACCTAAATAAGTGGTCCTCCTAATTGTTAATCATTCTGGTGATATGTTTACGTAAGGCCGTCTTATGTGCTCGTCCCTAAGTAGCTATCTTTTTTGTGCGCATGTGGACTTTAAAGCGTATACGTGTGGTGAGCTGCGATTTCAGCCAGTTATTTAATGCACGCCTTTCTCACTTCTTGTAGTTTAACCAAAACACATTAGTTAGTGAGATGTACGGTTTGTGACATATGCAAATAATTTTGTTTTTTTAACAAAGAGTTTCAGCTGTTAGCTATGTGTAAATTTAATGTTTTTTTGTAGTTCTCCTCCAGATGATTGTAGTCCCGATTCGACCAGTATCATTTAGGAGTGTAACCATCGCATAATGACATAAGGCTGAAGGCTGTCTGGATTTACCACAGCACTCCAGAGCTCTTTTCTTACACTTGATTGTTCTTACTGTGCACTCAGCAAAAGGTGAAGTGATAGAAGCTACAGAAAGGAGCCAGGAGCTACAGGTACAATTTGCTTTATTTAGATTGAGCCTCTGTCTATGCTGTGGAGCTGGAAATGCTTATGGTTGGAAAAAAGTTCTCTAAAGGCTTTTTTTTAACCTTCTGAACCTTGATTATCCACCATTGAGAAGAAGTCCACAATACAACACATGGTTGAATAATTCATTATCCATTTTTTTTTTCATTTATGGGAGAAAAAACTACAGCTTTTCAACTAATTTAAAAATCACAATGTATTTGAATATGATTATTTGTTTGCTTGCCATGAAACAAATATGAATTGCATTATTTAGTCAGATCTTATTGAAACTGAATAAAGTTTTCGGGTCACTCATTATCTTACACTACCCCCAAAATATTTTGACAGCTGCAAACGTAAGTGTTAGTTATACATAGTCATAAGAAATCAGGGGGATTAAGAAGAGAAAACAATTTCTATTTCCTTGATATTGGCAACCTTTCACTAATTGTGATATAAATAAGGACACTTTCAGTTGGAAATTTCTACCCTATTAGTGCTGCCCGTGTCCTCACTAAGACTAAGAAAGTAGAGCACATCATCCCACTTCTAAAGTCCTTACACTGGCTCCCTGTATCTCAGAGAATAGACTTTAAAATACTTCTGTTAGTCTGTAAATCTCTGAATGGCTTAGCACCTAAATACATCACAGACTTGCTATCAGTGTATCAACCCTCCAGACCACTCAGGTCTTCTGGCTCCAGCCTGCTCTGCATACCTAGAACCAGAACTAAACATGGAGAAGCAGCAATTAGTTCCTATGCTCCGCGTATCTGGAACAAACTTCCAGAAAACTGTAAAGGTGCAGAAAGCCTGAGTTCCTTTAAATCAAGACTAAAAACACATTTGTTTAGGATTGCCTTCGACTGTTCTAGTTAAACAGTTCAACTGAAACATCATTAGCTCAACTTTTTTTATTTTCTTTAGTCCAACTGTTTTTAATGTTCTTTTTTGTTTCTGTAGTTTTTTATTTTATTATTATTTTTTCTTCCTTGCTTAGATTCTGTTTTATTTTCCTATATTTTAATCATGTAAAGCACTTTGCATTGTTTTTGTACTGAATTGTGCTATATGTTCATTCTTTCAATTTTTTCTCAAATACATCCTTTGTGCTTTCTTAAAACATTAAGTGCAAGTTAGGAAGCCTGCATCTAATTTGTAGTCTTTTCCATGACTCCTGCGCATTATTACAGTTAATCCCTGCTATCATAACATGGTGCAGGCAGCAGCTATGCCGCATGTAGAGGTAACGATGTGAACAGAGCCCTTTGACTTTGCGGGTTCCCACGCTGCACTTGATAGTTCCTGCTAACAAAAATAAGAAGTTAAAATAACAGGACTTTAGTGCGCAGCGTAAAGCCTCCGGGAACCCAGATCGGTTCCCATGCGACGCAGCCTTCCAATTATGCGCAACAGGTGCAAAAAAGAAAAAAAAGAATAGCTATTCTTACAGCTCGTTTAAATTATAATTGGTTCAATCAGTTAAAAAGTAAAACAAACAGTTGAAAACTCCCCCTGCCATCATATTTTCCTCCTCAGATGTGTTATTATCAGATGAAAACATACCGATGTCCCGATCAGCAGTGGTAGAGGAAGGAGGACGCATGGTGTCAGAAAGAGGATTATATCGTTCTTAATAGAACACAGAAACCTGAAGAAACCCATCCTGGAGGGGAAAGGAGGAATGGGAAGTCTGAGCACCATGATTCCAGAATTTGAGGCACGGAGGGGAGAGGGGGGAGGAGGGAGAGGAGGAGGAGGAGGAGGAGGAGAGTCCCTCAGCGAATAAAGGAGAGAAAGAGGAGGCCACAATGAGGAGTGATGGTCTCACAGAGAGGGATGAGGGATAGCTGTGCTTTCCAAGAAAAAGAAAGAAAAAAAAACCCTAATGAAGAGAAACAAAAATTTTCTATAAAATCAGTGCACCATTAACATTTTTTTTTTAGCCCAAAATCAATTGTTTTGTTCCCCTCTTGAAGCTGATTACTTGTAGGGAACTGCTGAATGCAGCTATAAAGAAACACAGGGGCGGAACTAGATCAGGGATGGCCATGGTCACCCTTAGCCCATCATTGGCCACCCCTGTGGCCACCCTACCCAATGGTGTAAATATCTGTAAGCAGAGACTACACTTGCTTAAGGGCCCCCGTCACTGACTCTTGGTTGGCCCCCTTCGCAATTGTGGACTAGGATGTCTAATTGCAAATGTAATGGTGCAAAAATCCCTCTTAAAATCCACCTGATTTTAAGGTGACTGACGGGACCTTATTTACACCCCAACACATGCCAGATTTAAACATGATGGTGAGGCGTTTAAAGACGACACCAATAGCAAAGCAGAAAGTGGTACTTTTAATTACTATGTTGATAACTGTGTATAGTTCATTAGACGGTTGGTAAATAATACGCTATAATAGGTTTCAAACTGCAATAAAGATCTTAAAAGAACAATGTATTTGAGTATTTTAATTTTTACACTACAATTTGGAATTATGGGTAATCCAGAGTGTTGTACTTCATATGGGGCCCACCCATATAATGTTGCTTACGGGCCTATTGTGTCGTTACGCCATTGTATGCAGCTATAAAGGAACAGGCGATTTTAAAGAAAACTTTATTGTTATTAGACTTTAAAAATAAAATGCTGCTTCTACTTAAATTAACCACTTCAATTGGTAAATTCATTGAATTAGGTGGATCCAACATAATGTTTTAAGTTTATAAGTTGAAAAAACTTGGGCAAACTTAATTCTATTACTTTAACCACTTGAAGCGATTAATTTAAGTTGTGTATCACAATGTTTTTTTTATTTGTATCTTAAGACTACCAGCCCTCGTATATGTACACAGTCAGTGTATAGTGATCAAAAGTACTCTAAAGAAATTTTTGCAGTGCTATTACAATAACTTACTCATGAATGATTAATTCATTATTGAAACATCCTTCAACTACTTCTAAAAAAAAAGGAAATAAAATGAAAAAGACAGGCCAAAATATAATGATAACACATTCACAATGTCAGACAGAGCATAATAATGCAATTGTTATCCTGTTTATTGCTGCCCACTGCCAGTTAGATGGCTGAATGTCTTTCCATGGTCTGAACAAAGAAATTTGGCTATTGGGAAACACCACTAATTTTAAAACACTATGAAATTTAGTAGGTTGACAGCTTTGTGGCACATGGCTTTTAGCCTGCTCTTGAAAAACTGGTCAGATTAAAATTAACTTCAGCTTGTTAAACTTTTTTTTTCTTTTAAATAAAATCTCTGTAAAGTGAATTTGAACAACGAAAAATAAAATGAAAATGAAAATCATAACCTCTCACTCATTGACACATTTATCTTTTCATGTTAGATTTGAAAAGGGATTAAATTAGATCTTTGATTTGTTGTTTCTTGCTGCCTTTGCAAGGTGCAACCAATTAATATCATTATGCTTTATTTGCCATTCGGTTTCAGTGGTTTCAGGCTTCTTTAAGGAACGATTATAATTAATCTCCTGGCACATACTGTAGTAGTACATACTTTTTTATTTTTACATAAACTGAATTCTTTCTTTCTACTTTTTGAATTATTGTTTATTTCTATTGCGAAGATATGTTTCAACTTGAAGGCTGATGACATTAAAATTACTTTTAGCTGAACAACTTTATTTCACATTTATATCATTTTACAGTATTGTATCATTAAGCCATTATAGCTGAGAATTAACATGAATGTCATGAAATTTGCAGCCCTTCATCCACATTAATGGGAGGAATCTTAGGATAAGGATTACCACTTAGATCATAGAGTCACGTGTCATGGGGGAAAATTGCTGAATACATTTACTTTCATTTTTTATTTTTTATAAATTCATTCATCTTTTGAGTAAAACTGGAAAATTCATCCTCCTAAATATAATTTTGCATCAATCTGTAGTTAAAAAAGGTTTGACTGCCTTGAACAAAAACAGATATGTACTCTTCTTAAAGCTGTGTTTGTGTCTGATGTGTTTGTAGTCAAATGTTGTTACTGAGATTTTATCATTTATGTCTGAATATGATCTGATTAAGCAACAGGTTTGTAAGTGATGAGATAAAAAGTTATAAAGATACTATAAACATGGGCATATTGCCTATCTTGACAGCAATTCTATTTAACAACAGGTTATAAAGAAAGGTACAATAAAACTGAAAAAAGAACAAAAAAATGATTAAAAAATGATTAAAATAAGGATTCCTGTTAAACTGAACTTTACAAAGACAAAATAAACATAAATGATTTTTGGTATGGGCATAAACTTATCCAACTGAAAATGTTTAAAGCAATGTCAGCAAAAAAACTCTCAGAACTAAGGTAAAAAAAAAAATGTTTATTTATTTTCTTGCATACAGCAAATAAAAATTATTTTCACATGTTTTATCTATTCAGAACATATTTCCCAGTTTGAAAAGATTCATTCATTGTTCTAGATTTCTAAAGGCTT